GAAAGACCCTCACCCACCCTTGTTATTCTCTTGTGTATAGGCTCGGTCACACCACAAACCCACGCATTGGAAACAACTTTGTTGCATTCTTCATTCGAGAGCCAAAGAGCTTCAAAACGGAATAATTTCCCTTTTTCGGTTGCACTCACTTTTCTGTCCAAATTAATTACCTCAGAATAAGGGAATAGGGAGCACCGCCCATCCAAGGCCACATACCTATCAAGTCTTTCCCGCACCAGAGTATCCATTGAAAGTCCTCGTTCCCATGTGAAAATATTGCCTTTAAAACCACCACGTTTAAATCCCTCCACCACAGTCCCAAACCACCCGACCTTCGATTACTACTTAAGCAAACTCCGTTAGCAAAACCGCATTTATTACGAATCAACTCAAGACGACGAGAATCAATTTTGGTTTCCATAGCGAAAACTATATTCGGCCTATCTATCCAACACCAATCTTGGAGAGCTTTAACTGTTAATGGGTTGCCAAGCCCATAACAGTTCCAAATTAAGGTTTTCATTGCTCTTCATGGGGTTGGACATCTCCAACCTCCGCTACTTGGCTAAAGACAGACAACTCATCATTGTCCACAATACTTTTCACCCTCTTCAGTGTGTACCCCTCCTGCTCCATATGTTCCCTTATCGACTGCACCCCTGCCTTTCTTTTTCCCGAGAGCAACTCACCAACACCCTCATCAGTATCCATAGTAGCTTGGCCCTTCCCTCGAGTTCTCGTTGCCTTAAAGACCTTCCTGCCTTGCTTTTTCGGACTAGCCAAGCCCACCTGAAAAGAAAGAGGTGCCATATCTCCAGGAACATTGTACTGCCCCCTAGATTCACACGCATCTTTAACTATATTATTGGGATTTGTGCTCATAATTGGGGCAATAATCTGCTCATTACACTGCACGACCCCACCCTTCTTTACAACCTCATTAGACATTTCACATCCACTAGACAAAGTGAGAACCTTTCCTGATGAGCTCTCCTCACCTGATTTAGCGCCCATAAAGGAGGGATCATTCTCCTTCGATATGAACAGCTGCTTTCTACTAGCCAAGATAAGAGGTTCCTCCTCCGCCCTCTTCGATACACCTTTCCTCGGAGACGCCCGAAGGTAAAAACCCCACCCCAACTTCTGCATCTTTTCTTCCTCAGACACATGAGCACAATCTTTTTCGACATGACCGACAATACCACACGCAAAGCACAGGTATGGAAAACGTTCGTATTTGAACTCCACTTTCACCTCCTTCCCCTTCTTATCCTTCATCCACTGATAACGTCTCAAAGGCTTTTCAACATCTATCATCACTCTAACCCTCCTATATCATTCCAGTCCGAAAGCATCATCCTCTAACTCCATAAAGGTTCCCAAGTTCGAGGTAATGGCTTTGACATAGGCCTTCGAACGAACGGCGCATTAATCACTCTAACCCAGAAAGGGGATTGATTAAGTTTTACACGATCAGGTTGTTCATCCCCTTCACTTTCTTTCAGAAATAGCAGATGATTCTCCCAACACCATGGTCTTCCTTTTAATATTTTTTCTCTATCTTTCCAATGAAAAAACTGAAAAGCAAATAAATTAGGGCTAAATTATTCGAGAGGTTCCATACCTTCAGCATCGTTTGCTTGAAAGCCTCAACATTATACAGACGACTGGTACACACACGCCCCACCAACAACAGATCAATGTTATCATTCGAATCCTCCCCATCAATATTACACAAGTCTATCAGATCCCCTTCTTTCTTATCCAACCTTAGCGCTGAGTATTGTTGAGCCAACTCATCAGCCATAATGTCGGAGTCCGATCGTTCGTGACAGAGAGTATCGTTCGAGACGAAAATATTGTCTTTCTCTCAAGAGAGTTTTGCCCTATCTTTCGATGGAGTTTTCATGGTGTATGTTTTAATATTATGTTATTGATTTATAAATTATAAATTATTAGTTATTACTCATTTCTCCAATTCCATTCCCTCCATTTCCTTTAATCCAAATAAAGTATTAGAGGTGAAGATATTAAGAGGATAGTTGGAGCTAGGAACATTAAAGATAAGATAATAGAGAACTACTAACATTGGTTCAGGCTTGTAAAGCAAAGATCAAAAGGCGCGCTAGTAAGGAAAGTTGAGGATTGGTAGCAAGTGGATCTTAGAAAAGGCAAGGGAAGATCGGAAGACCATAGACGACTTCAATCAAAATATTTAAGGACATATGCAACGAGGGAGACTCAGTTCTTCATTATGAGAAACACTTTTGTTTCTCATAATGGCATTTTGGAAAATAATGTGATGTTTTTCACTGGTGGGGACCGTGTATGTGTCATGAGTGGGAGCCCTAGATCTTGACACATACCCCATGAGAAACACACAATGAGAAACAGAGATTTACCCATATGAAACTTGAGTTTGTAGGAGCATGCATGAAAATCATATTAATGAAGGAAACTATACAGAATTATGGAAGACTGTGAGAGAATTTATATTCATTTACTACCTGATAAGTAGTAATTAGTAATTTACATTAAGCTGGGCAGCAGCCCCTTATGCACTGCCCCAAGGACGGGCCTGGTCAAGCCACCTTCTAAATCAGATTATCAATTATTTTACAAACTGGTCAAAGGATCGTTATGAGAAATTGGGGGTTAAATGTGAGATTATTTCCTGATTTCAAAAAGGTGGTATTGTTTTGAGCAAATATGCTCTCCCCTTACCTCTTCATTTCAATGGTTGATGCAATCTTTGGTCTGATTAACAATTATCTTTATTTAATTTCCTACATACTCTCTCCATCTCTTAATACAAAACCGCTTTTGATTTTGCGCGGGAGTTAAGAAAGTTATAAATTATTTAAAACTAATGTTAAAAGTATATATGTGCATGTGAGGTTAGAGAGAGATAGAAAGAAAGAAACGTAGTTGGGAATAAATAAAGAGAGAGATAGAGAAAAAAAATGTTGGAAATTGATGTTAAAAATACAAAAAAGGGTAATAATGTAAAAAAAAATACAACCTTTAAATAGAAAGAGACATTGTATTTTTGTTTACCCAAAAAAAATGAGGCTTTGTATTAAGGGACGTAGGGAGTAGTAATTAAAACAAATACAAAATAATATTTATTTATAGTAACATAAACCAAAATGGGATAATAACTTTAATAATTTCCTCAAAATCAAGAGTAGATGTAGTGTTTAACTAACTACTTAAACTTACATGATTCGATTACCTATTTACTTGTATGTTACGTTAACATAAACGACTTAATATATATATTCTCACTTTAAATAACATCATTTAATCATGTCACTCTACATTAATAAAAAAAAAAGTTAATTTAATATCTTATTATACTCATAGAAAATTGTTAAAGAAGGTAATAATACATATTTGTCATACCAAACAAGCCTATATAATCAATCTAAATGTCAAGAAATTAAATTAAACCACAAACCCAAAAATAACACTTAAATTCTGACAGAGTAGATGATAAACATTGAGTGCACAAGGTAGGAATTTGTTTCGGAATATAATGATGTCTCGCGTAATAACAATTTCAAATTTTTTTGGAAAATAATGGAAGCGGCTTAAATAACTGACTTAATTAGAACCTCCTTCCTAATTTTCCTTCCACCCCTACAATTCTTCTAAACCCGAACTTTGAGAGCAACAAAAACAACTTTTTCGACCTTCCAACAATATAATAGTAAGGATGCCCAAATATGCCGTGCAAAATGCACACAAATTAACTGCTGTTAAGAGGAGGAAGATGTATACCTAACATGTTTGTTATCTAACCACATAAAAGGCATCAAGTAATTGAGAAATGTTAGAATAAATACAAAATAGGGTACTCCTAGAAGTCCCCCTGGGCGTATAGGCCCTATTAGTTTTTTGCTTGTAAATAGGAGGGCACGCAATCTGGGATTCGGTGGTACATTTTTTCTCTCTTAATGATACAGTGCTATATTTTTAGTACTATTATGCATGTATAATGTACCATTAAAACATAAGTAGTCTGAAAAGTACTTTTTATGTACAATTATGCATGTAGTGGTACCTTTTACCGTCATATTTTCAACCCTCATGTTCCCATTATTATTTACAACAATTCCATCCTATATGCATTGCTTATTTGCTTGTAAATAGGCCCTATGCGATAGGAGTTCTCCTACTTCTGGAAGCAAGTCAACCGCTGTCGGGACCTTCTTACAGTAGTGAGGCACGTTGCCCTTAAACTTGGAGCAGTCCCCTTGTTCAGTTGTTTGTGCTCCCACCATTGACCATATTACTTCTTTCTTCGGCCACATCCATCCAATTGTCCACCCAGGGCTCATTATTTATCGTGACCACTGCCTGTTAAAAGTGCAGCATATATGTCTCTTGTCTCGTGTTTGAGAAGTTGATTTCTTAAAAGAGAGGAGAAATTCGGTACTTAACCATCTGGAGTCCAAGACATTAGATCCCATTTGACTGTTATGCTACCATTTGGATCTAATGGATCAACCGAGATATAAATTGTACGGAATATTGTATGTTTTGTGTTCATCAGACATTCATATGATCGACGAAAATTAAAAGTACTGCACTTAGTGGCTCCCTTGACACTAGAATAAAAGTACTACTGAAGAGTAATTTGCAATAAGGAATAATGCAATTATGTGAATACCTCCATGTTTCTATTTTTGCCTAGATTAGTTGGTTAGAGTCTTGAGGGTTTAGTTTGTTTGTTTGTTTGTTGTCTTTTGGATGTTGCAAGGTTATGCCCGCTTTTGATTCAAAGCATTTAGAATGCCTGCCATATACGTGGATTCAATTTGTTTGTTATCAGCCACATTATGAATAATCTTTCCTAAGCCATATACACGAGATTGCTAAATCACCAAGTTTCATTTTGTTGACTAAATTTCTACTTCAGTATATTATATCAAAATATGCAAACAGTTATGTGAGAAGCAAATTTGTCTCTCTTCCCCGTTTCTTTTGTTAGTTAAATTCTTATGCTTTGTTTCTGGCAGGCTGTCGTCACAATGATTAACTTCCAGCAGTACCGCCACATTCAAACCCCAGGGTGGACACTTGGATGGACATGGGCCAAAAAGGAGGTAATATGGAGTATGGTGGGTGCACAAACCACAGAGCAAGGAGATTGTTCAAAATTTAAAGGAAACATTCCTCATTGTTGTAAAAAGGATCCATCAGTGGTAGATTTGCTTCCTGGAACACCTTACAACCAGCAAATCGCTAACTGCTGCCGCGGAGGGGTACTAACTGCCTGGGGCCAGGACCAAGCCAATGCTGTTGGCGCTTTTCAAATTAGTGTAGGTCAAGCGGGAACATCTAATAAGACAGTTAAGCTGCCAAAAAATTTCACATTGATGGCACCAGGGCCTGGATATACTTGTGGGCCAGCAAAGATTGTGAGGCCAACCCAGTTTACGACATCTGATAAGCGGAGAACCACTCAAGCTTTGAGTAAGTGGCCTTCTTATTAATCTTAGGCATTTAGGTTGTTGATTATCTTGGTTCCTTGAACTTATGAATCATGGAGAGTACATTCTCTCTATTTAAGAAACTAAACATAGTTTCTGACTTATCTGTGATACTTATAACTGATAGTCTCAGATTCATATGCCAGTTCTTGAATTTATTGTTTTCGATTATGCTTTCCAATGATGTATTAATGGTCACTAGAGCTTATATATCTTGCTGAGGTTGAAATGATTTCAAAGTTTACTAATAGCAACAACATTTCTTCTTTGCAGTGACTTGGAACATAACTTGCACGTATTCTCAGTTCCTGGCTCAGAAGACTCCTACTTGCTGTGTTTCTCTCTCCTCATTTTACAATGACACTATCGTACCCTGCCCAACTTGCTCTTGTGGATGTCAGAACAACATAACCCAACCAGGAAGCTGTGTTGAGTAAGTGACCTTATCAAAGTGGTATTTTGTGGAAAAGCTTTCATATATGCTCTTTTTGTTCTGACTAAGAGGTGATAATTGCAATTGCAGAGCGGACAATCCCTATTTAACTTCAGCCATTTCAGCAGGTGGACCAAAATCTAGTAGCAAACCTCTACTCCAGTGTACCAGTCACATGTGTCCAGTTCGGATTCATTGGCATGTCAAGGTCAATTACAAGGACTATTGGCGTACTAAGGTTACTATTACAAACTTTAACTACCGAATGAACTACTCGCAATGGAATCTGGTTGTGCAGCATCCCAACTTTAATAATCTCACTCAATCGTTTAGTTTCATGTACAAAGGATTGACGCCCTATGATGGTTTGAGTAAGTATCATCTCTTTGTATTTACTAAATATATACCAGTCAAGTGTTGATTGATTGCAATAGTTTCTAATGATTCTCTACTGGGTAATTTGATGTTGTTTGTTACAGATGACACTGCCATGCTATGGGGAATTAAGTTCTATAATGATTTTCTTAATGAAGCTGGGCCTTTCGGGAATGTGCAGTCAGAGCTGCTATTTCAGAAAGACAAAACTACTTTTAGTTTCGAGAAAGGATTTGCTTTTCCACGGCGGGTGTACTTTAACGGAGATAACTGTGTGATGCCTCCTCCAGATGCTTACCCATGGCTACCAAATGCTAGTTCGAGACCTATTATCTCTCTTCTACAACCTGTCATGACTATCTTGGCAGCCCTGGCTTTCTTACTTGCATATGCTTAGAGAGAGACATGTTGCTTTCCAGATTTCTCTTGAATCACTTGTGTGATGCACTTTCACCTTGACACTTACCAATTGGTCTCATTGCTGCTTCAAGTCCAGTGATGCACTATGACCCTTTTCAGGTACACCATTCATCGCTTCTAGAAAGAGCGTCCATTGTCTAATGAAGTGTTTGTCTAATGAAGTGTTGAAAATGAGAATCTGATGCCGTTTTTTTTAGAGATAGGCTCTTTTGTACACGTATTTATACTTTTAATTTATATTCTTTTTTTTTTTTTTTTTATTTATTATTCTTCTTAGAGTATTTATTGAGACGCGTATTTCAGTCGTTGTAACTTGTAAAAACTCTGGCCATGGAAATGCAAGTGTTATATAGAGTTGCTTGTTGTATTTGCTGCGATGCATTCAAGATTTGATGAAATTCACAATGCTCATCCTTCAGAAATATTGCAGTATGATTATTCAAATTCTATCTAAAAATATGCAGTACATTAAAATAAGATATCACAATTGTATAACCCTTTTAAATCAAGGCAGAAGCTTAGCTTAATGCACGCTTACTCAAAAATTCACAAGCAACATGTTGGTGAAAGAGCATTACCTAAATAAGAAGAACCATTAATGTGTATGTACCGGCTACCATTAAGTAAGCAAAGGAAATCATACTGGCCGAGCTTGGAAGTGAAGGATATGCATCAGGTGGTGGAAGTCTGCATTCATCTCCATTGAAGTAAACTTTCCTAGGAAATGCCCATCCTTGTCTGAAGGTGAATGTGCTTTTGTCCTTCTGTAGAAGTAATTCAGACTGCACATTCCCATCAGGTCCAGCTTCCATTAAAAGATCATTATAAAACTTCGTACCATAGAACATACCAGTATCATCTGCGAAAAAGGAAATAGGAAGAAATAAATCAGGGAGATTTAGCGCGATTACTTTGTAACTGCTGTTAGGAGGAGTAAGATACGTATATCTAAACTCTAGAATAATAAAATTCACCTCCGAACCTATATAATCTTTACATATCTTTAATGGAAAATTTTTCTATTTAGTATTTACTAGGAGGTCGATATCAAAAACGAAGTGTGTTAGTTGTATAAATATTTTCTGATTAGAGGCACTTACTAACTGAATGATACGGTACAACAGGCTTGTAGTCAAAGCTGAAAACTTGGGTGACATTGTTAAGATTGGGATGTTGGACCACCAATGTCCACTGAGTATAGTTCATGCGATAATTGAAATTAGTTACTGATATCTTGGCACGCCAGTAATCCTTATAATTGATCTTAACATGCCAGTGGACTCGGATAGGGCACATATGATGTGTGCATTGTAGAAGAGGCGCATTATCCTTCCTTGGAGTGTTTATTCCTCTTGAGTGTGATTTCTTTGAGTTCATCCTACATTTCAGTCAGGCACAAAATGAAATTATAATGCTACTGATTTTGTTGGATATATTCTACACTAGGGAGGTTGGAGGTATATATATTGGTCGTTTACCTGATACAGCTACCTTTGTTGTGGCAGCCACAAGAACAAGATGGGCAAGGGACGATTGTGTCATTGTAGAAAGACGAGAAGGAGACACAACATGATGGGTTCTTTGAAGCCAGAAACTGCGAATAAGTGCATGTTACATTCCATGTCACTGCAAGTTGAGAGCAAGCTGTTCAGTATGCTAACATTACAAACAAGTCAGATAACTAACAGATTATAATTTGTAAATTTATATTTTGTTTGTGATTAGGGATGAAATTAAGGACATTGAGGGAGCTGCTTTAAAAGGAAAGACTGGGTAATTGACAGAAAATACTTACTGAGCGCCTGAGTTTTCCTCCGGCGATCAGTGGTGAGGAAAACTGTGGAAGGCACAATTTTTGCTGGGCCACAAGTATAGCCAAGACCAGGTCCTAGCAATGTAAAATTCTGAGGGAGCTTCACAGTCTTGTTTGACGTGCCAGCCTGCCCAACGCTGACTTGGAAGGCAGAGATCGCGGCAGCAGGGTCCTGTCCCCATGCTGCGACTACTCCACCCTTGCAACAGTTTGCAATCTGCTGGTTATAGGGTACTCCTGGAAGCAAGTCCACTACTGTCGGGACCTTCTTACAGCAGTGAGGCACGTTGCCCTTAAACTTGGAGCAGTCCCCTTGTTCAGTTGTTTGTGCTCCCACCATTGACCATATTACTTCTTTCTTCGCCCACATCCATCCTATTGTCCACCCAGGGCTCATTATTTGCCGATACATTTGGAAGTTGTTTATCGTGACCACTGCCTGTTAAAAGTGCAACATATAGTGTTTGAGAAGTTGATTTCTTAAACAAGATGAGAATTCAGTACTTACCACATAACCATCTGGAGTCCAAGACATAACATCCCATTTGACTGTTATGTTACCGTTTGGATCTAATGGATCATATGCCTCTGTAATGTTGGGGAATAAATTGAATAAGAAAACATACAAATAGATTCAGTTGATAGGAAGATCATAAAATAAACATTATTCTGGCAAAATTATCAGTGTTTACAAGAATACAAGCTCAGAGCATTACCTGCATGATAGGAAAGCATGAGAACAGCAAGTGCAACATAGAGCGCGAACTTCAGTTCAGCTTGTGCAACTAAATATTGGCGCTGGCATTGCATATTCCTTTCTTTCGCAACGTGTTTTTGGATGAAAGGTACACATGTTTTACACCTCATGTTCTGTTTTTTTAGCAGAAACACTGAGGGATAGTTGTGAAAAAACAGATAAAGATGAGATCATATATGGCATTGTTTCACCTGGGGTTGTTAGGTGTGTCATGAGATATTTCATATCTCATGTTCCATTTTACCTTTTACCTTTTATCTGATTGGTCAGTTGGTCTGATTACTTCCTTTTTAAGTAAGATTTTAGTGAGGAAGTGAACTGAACATTAATTATGTTTTCGAGACAGTTGAGCATAAAAAGGTCAGCAATATCTCTCAATCATGTAGGAAAGCTAGAGTCTACCAAAGTTAGCTGATATTATTTGGTATAAATTGTTTGCCAAGTATACATCGTTCTATACCATACATTAGCGTAGTATACAGAAATCAACCGAGATATAAATTGTACGGAATATTGTATGTTTTGTGTTCATCAGACATTCATATGATCGACGAAAATTAAACTGGTAGTACTGACTCTAACCAGATAAGCTAAACCAAGGACATGGAAAACACTCGATTATAAGGAGAAAATCATAGAATTTATTATTATTATTCTATTTTTGCAAAGCCAAAGGCAAATTAAACACTGACACGAGTACTCCGTAAAAGATTTGGTCTAAACACGGACCAATTTTGTACTTTCTTCACCATTCATATTATGGTATGTCAAAATCTTCCTTTGGTTTCGGTTGTGCACTACTAAGCTCTCCATATAAATGCCAAAATAGCTATAATAATAATCTTCCAAATGTTGTATCCGGTGACTTCTGAAGTTATAAGAAAATATATTACTTCTAAAAGATAGGATAAATGTATTCTTCTCAACATTGAAAATAACCGTACGAAAACCTCTGGTAAGAAACCGGTGAGCTTTTGAATTTGAATCTCCAGTATACCAAAGCCGCCATGATTTAATTTTATCTACACCATCCTCGACCAAAACCCATATGCAGGCACTATGAGAAGACATAGCGAAAATTGCTACAGACTCACTAAGGACAAAATTAATTTTAACTAGACCTGGTTGTTTAAGAGCATCAGGCAAATCCACGAAGACGAATTCCTCGGAATCAAAATCGAACGATACAAGATGATTATGTACGCCAGGAGGTTTATCCTTTTCAAAGCCTAACCAGCACAAAGCACCCTTACAATAAAATTCATCCGCATCTTCAAAACTTAAAAGGCCTCGAACGTGAGCATCCGACCTATCTTTAATCCTCCAAAGGTTAGCATTTGATGAATAAACCACTATCGAAGAATTATCATAAACAAAAGTAACAACCTTATAATCATTAGTAGACGGAGCGAAACCTAGCCAACATGTCCAAGTCATATAAGGACAACGGGGGATCGACCAGGACTTTCGAGTACAGGGATTATGAAATACCATCTCATCCTCGTCGACCTCGTCCGGCGTAATTGCATAAAACGCACACATCAAAATTAATCCATATTCGCAGCATATTACTTCACAATTAAAAGGAGTTTTAAATATTTCGTCAATTTTTCTGAATGTGTCGATACTATAAACTGCAGTTTTGTCGGAGTTCATGGCTATCGCGTACTTGGGTTTGTTGTTGTAAATTTGAAGATGCAAAAGACTGAAATAAGAGGAATCAATTAATGAACACCAGCTTTTACAAACACACCTTAATCTCATTAAGCTTTTCACCGGCAGCCTCGCTAAGATCTCTGTCCACATATCCATCGTTAAACCCGGCAATGCTTCCGCCATTGAGTCAGTATTTGAAGTTATTACGGGAGATTGGAACTAATACCGTTAAACTCACAAGAAATTTAGGAGAAAACGGCTCAATGAGCCTTTACCATTAAAGGCATATATATAGGCTTACAACATTAACCTAACAAGCCAAAAACTCCTAACAAGATATATACAAATATATACACAAAATATATCTCAAAACATAATTATATCCTAACACAAATCATATCTTTCACAAAAGTATATCTTATTCATATGTATTTTGGTAGTGTGTTTATCACTTTCTAATAATATTTACTTGTATATATTTTTAAATTTATAATTTCTGATCTTATTGTAACTAAATGATGTATCTTTATATACTACTATCCTATACCTATTCATCAGCTTAACTTTTTTATAATGTATACAGTGTAACTTTTTGTTATCAACCTTTCGATTTCATTCTCAACATTATTGTGTAAAATGATATCTTTATGAACATGAAATTTGCAAATTCCGTCTAACGTTCCATTTTAGATCTAATGTAATAGCGCACTCACACAATATTCTAAACTTGTATGGCACATCAAAGAATTATTTATAAAATATAAATAATTAAAAATCGAGAAAGGAAATTTTCTATTACTTGATCTTGATAACCAACTTTCAAAAAAAAAAAATTTGAAATTCTAAAATTTATTGATAGCCGAATTAACTAACTACTACTAACGGATAAAATAAAAATTGAACCGTAACTTTATAAATACTTATTTTGTACTTATTATAGTACTATAGTAGTAACTACTCCATAGTAAGACTAGTAACTCATATAAATTTACAACAGTTACTAGTTAATGATGTTTTAAATTTCCATTAACAAATTTGCACTTGAACATGCATATACACTTTATGATAATTGAACAGACTGGGGTGTTGCCCAAACATAAGCCCATTTCAACCAATTTATGCGGTTAGGCCGAATAAAAGT